GGCAAAGACCTGCTGATTTAATGTACATGCACAAGTGCCCAAAACCCCATTTTAAACTATAAGCATGTATTCCTTTAACAAAAATTTGAAAGCAACAGGACCAGAGTGAGGATGGCAGAGTGTAAAGCCAAAGGCATGTGATTCAACAGGCAGATGATTTAGCCCCTAAAGAAAGCCTGAGGAAAGCACTCGCATTGCTCTGCCCTCTCACAACTACAAGCACAGAGCAGGGAAAGAGCTCAGGCAGACCTGATCTGACAGAAGAGAAGGAAGCTGTCAGCTCAGCTTCTCATCAGCACAGGGAGTTCGCTCTAGTCCCCCACTAGACGACCCCACAAGGCTAAGGCCAGTAAGATTTAGGACTTCTACAAACAGAAAATTAAAAAACAAAAAAAATTAAAAACCAGAAAAAAATCAAATCTTTAGCAATCTTTATTCCAGAAGAATGAGCCTGATATGTATGGTGACAGAAAATACCTCAATATTAAGCCAGGGGTTTTTAGCATAACATGTGTTAAGGCTCAAACTGGACATGACCCTCCCAGCACCCAACCTGCTTGCCAGCAGAGGCATTGTTCCCAGCGGGGACGCAGCTCAGCACCAAGGCTGTCATTGGCAAACACAGGATGTCGGGAAAGAGATAAGACAGGACGAGGAATCCTGCAGGTCCCCAGAAGTACAGAGACACCTGAAAATTTGCACTGGATGCCGCCTCAAGGACTTTGCCCGCTGAGGTACAAGACAGCCAGAGAACTTAAACACTGACGTTTACCAACATCTTCGCCCTCTAATGTCCCTTGCCTGCTTTCAATCCCTAGGAAGGCCCCCACTTCTCTTTGTTCCCTACAGACGGCCTTCTCCTCCTCTGCCTGCCCACACCCAGGCACGATAAATTCCAGGCCACGTTGCCTTTACACAAACCTGGTGGGCTTGGCTGGTCTCTTTGCCTCTCACCGTTCCTTACAGCATGAACAGGAGAAGTCTTCTCAAGTTCAAGCCATGCAAAGTAACAGAGCCTGTGCTAACAGCAATGGGGAAACAGGAGTTTGCATCAGGAATGGGTTCCCCAAGGCATAAGGCCCACCCCCAGGAGCACAAGAACCATCCAGATAGCGGATGAACAAACTTTGGGGCGTCAGGCTTCTAGGCTGGTCTAAGCCACTAGTGAAAGAACTGCAAAAAACACAAGAATCTAGTTACTATAAAAGGCATACATGTACACTGTTTTTTGTTTTGTTTGCAGTAGTAAAGATTAAATGTAGGACCTCAAAAATGCTAGGCAAGCGCACAACCCCTGAGCTACACCTCTAACCATTTTTTTGAGACAGGATTTTGCTATGTAGTTCAAGCTGGTCTTGAACTCATTATGCAGCCAAGGCTGACCTCAAACTCATGGTGGTCCCCTGGCCTCAGCCTCCCAAGTGCTGGGACTATAGGTATGTGCCACCAAACCCTGCTAAGTTGTTTTTTTTTTTTTTTGAAACAAGATCTCAGGCTGGCCTCAAACTTGTGATCTACCTACCTCAGCCTACTGACAACTGAGAATACAGGCCTGCGCCCCCACCCCTGGATTGTGCATTGTTTGTGAGCATATAAGTAGTAAAGGCTTTGGAGCTGCAATCTGGTAATACCTATTATACATTTTTAAATATTTATGCTCTTGGGCTCAAATTTCATTTCCAGGGGAAAAAACCAGGAGCAATCTAAACGTCTACGACTAAAATAAGCTTAGTGTGTCCAAATAGTGTAGTATCAAATAGCAGCTCTTTTAAAAAAATAAAAGAACTGCATTTCCTCACATAGAAACATCTAAAAGCAGCCAGGCCTGGTGGCGCACACCTACAACCCCAGTACTACAGGCGGCCAGAGCAGGATGATCACAAACTCAAGCCCTGCTGGAGCAAATTAACAAAATTCTGTCTCAAAATCCCAAACGAGAAAAGGTTGGGGATAAGGCTCAGTGCAAACAATCCCCAGTACCAGGGGGAAAAAGTGACAGAGAAAGAAATGCCCCAAATCTGTAAGTTTATTGCCTGTATACATATATGTATGTGTATATATGTGTGTGTGTGTGTGTGTGTGTGT